GATTTTTTTTGGGAATTTCGCTCGGATTTAAGGAATCTCCAGCCCCAATTCCCCTCCCAGCAGCTCAGGGAATTCCGGGATGGATTCATTCCCGGATTTTTTCCCCTCCCAGGACCCTCAGGTGATTTTTTTTGGGAATATCGCTCGGATTTCGGGAATTCCCATCCCCAATTCCCCTCCCAGCAGCTCAGGGAATTCCAGGATGGATTCATTCCCGGATTTTCCTCTTTTTTTTGGGAATTTCGCTCGGATTTAAGGAATTTCCATCCCCAATTCCCCTCCCAGCAGCTCAGGGAATTCCAGGATGGATTCATTCCCGGATTTTTGCCCTTCCAGATGGTCGCCATCCTCAGGTGATTTTTTTTGGGAATTTCGCTCGGATTTAAGGAATCTCCATCCCCAATTCCCCTCCCAGCAGCTCAGGGAATTCCGGGATGGATTCATTCCCGGATTTTCCTCGTTTTTTTGGGAATATCGCTCGGATTTTGGGAATTTCCAGCCCCAAATCCCCTCATTCCCAGATTTTTTCCCCTCCCAGGACCCTCAGGTGATTTTTTTTGGGAATATTGTTTGGATTTCGGGAATTTCCAGCCCCAAATCCCCTCCCAGCAGCTCAGGGAATTCCAGGATGGATTCATTCCCGGATTTTCCTCTTTTTTTTGGGAATTTCGCTCGGATTTAAGGAATTTCCAGCCCCAAATCCCCTCATTCCCAGATTTTTTCCCCTCCCAGGACCCTCAGGTGATTTTTTTTGGGAATTTCGGTCGGATTTCGGGAATTTCCAGCCCCAAATCCCCTCCCAGCAGCTCAGGGAATTCCAGGATGGATTCATTCCCGGATTTTTTCCCTTCCCAGTTTTTCCCCATCCTCAGGTGATTTTTTTTGGGAATTTCGCTCGGATTTAAGGAATTTCCAGCCCCAAATCCCCTCCCAGCAGCTCAGGGAATTCCGGGATGGATTCATTCCCGGATTTTTGCCCTTCCAGATGGTCGGGAAAGGCGAATCCCGCATCCCGAATCCCTGGAAAATGGATTCCTTCCTGCCTCCATTTTGAAGCCGAGCTTGGCACGGCGCCCGATCCCGAGCTCGGAGAGGGAAAAAAGCCGGAAAATCCAAGCGGGAAAAGCCGAGATCCCGGAATTCCGGGGGAGAAAATGCAGGGATGAAACAGCTCAAGGACTCCCCAGAAACACAAAATTCAGCATTGGGAGAGTCCCGGATTCGCTGCTTTTCCTCGGGGTTTTAGGGAGAAAATTCCTGATTTTTTATGGAGAAATTCCCTCTTTTTTAGGGAGAAAATTCCTGATTTTTTATGGAAATATTCCCTCTTTTTTAGGGAGAAAATTCCTGATTTTTTTTAGAAATATTCCCTCGTTTTTATGGAAAAATCCCCTCATTTTTAGGCATAATTTTCCAGAGTTTTTAGGGATAAATTCCTGATTTTTTAGGGATAAATTCCCTCCTTTTCCCGGAGTTTTTAGGGATAAATTCCTGATTTTTAGGGATAAATTCCCCACTTTTCCCAGATTTTTTCCTCCTTTTCCTGGAGTTTTTAGGGATAAATTCCTGATTTTTTAGGGATAAATATCCCCCTTTTCCTGGAGTTTTTAGGGATAAATTCCCTCAATTTTAGGGATAAATTCCCTCTTTTTCCTGGATTTTTTCCTCCTTTCCCCAGAGTTTTTAGGGATAAATTCCTGATTTTTTATGGAAAAATTCCCCCCTTTTCCCAGAGTTTTTCCTCCTTTTCCTGGAGCTTTTAGGGATAAATTCCTGATTTTTTAGGGATCAATTCCCCCCTTTTCCCGAATCTTTTCCTCCTTTTCCCAGAGTTTTTAGGGATAAATTCCTCCCTTTCCTGGAGTTTTTAGGGAGAAAATCCCCTCAGTTTTAGGGATAAATTCCCTCCTTTTCCCGGAGTTTTAAGGGATAAATTCCCTCCATTTCTGGCATTTTTTAGGGAGAAAATTCCTGATTTTTTAAGGATGAACTCCCTCCTTTTCCCGGAGTTTTTAGGGATAAATTCCCCCCTTTTCCCGCAGTTTTTAGGGATAAATTCCCCCCTTTTCCCGCAGTTTTCAGGGATAAATTCCCCCCTTTTCCCGCAGTTTTTAGGGATAAATTCCCCCCTTTTCCCGG